AAGCACGATGAGCGCTTTTCCACTTTCAAATCCACAGATCGTTTTTGCAATCAGCCCCATCCCTTCTGATTCATCCTGGGGAAAAGCGTTGTTGGATCGCCCAGTTAGTACTTACTCACGAGGATCGACCAGGGGAAGAGACTTGAGCCGTCAACGCTTTCATAGAGTACAGCAGTTTATCTATCCAATTGAATCTGACACTGAAAACCTCGAGAGTCTCTTAAGCATGATGTTCCTGACGTGATTTGCAGCTACGAATATGCTCGCGAGAGCGCTAGAACGATTCGATTCAGGATCTTTGCGCTTCTAAGTTCTTTAGCAAACGCACGACAAAGTGTTCAATATTGACCCGGACAAACGTCTATCACGACTCGAGCATTGCTGTGATGGAATGGTCAGGATCGTCGCTGCCGGACATCTTGCACAAAGGAGAAAACAACTTCGTTTAGAACCGTTTTTTCGCACTTATTGCGAACGTCGGAAACGTCGTTACTGCTTCTGATTTCGCTGTTTGTCCTGCTTCACTTGATCGCTTGGTCGCTTTTTTGCCAAATGAAAAGTGAACTACTACGAACGGTCAGTGTAAGTACGCAATGAACTTCTGACTTTCAGCAGGGAATGATCTTATGGGCCATACCTAGCTATCACATGAAAGCGAATCAGACGCATCCTCGTCAACATGCATTTTGGGGACAAATCACAAAGGTCTTATAGTACAACTGATCTCGTATGCACGTGAGACATAATTGGAGGATGTGGCAAATTTCCTCAGTACTAAGCAGTAAAGAGTGATGGCATTCATGTATAGATTAGTACATGAATGCCATCACTCAAGAGCACATATTATGTTCTGATAAGTACATAATAATGGCTCATTTCTAAGAACCTACTTTGGTCACCCTGGACTTAAGCTTAGTGTAATATTATTTGTCTAATTTATCGGCTTTACTTCTGAATGAGTCGGTTTCATACATATTCCGTTTAAGGAGCTTTAATGGTTTAACATGGAGTTTTAAAAACCACACACCTTATATGATTCCGATGCGATTTAACAGTATTCCTATCAAGTCTCCCTTTCAAGTGCAAGTTTGCGTGCCGCGCTTATATCTGCCCCGAATAATCTCTTATATAAGCAATAGAAACACCAGGGCCGCACTCTTCCGATTGCGACTAGCCGAAATTTTCTTCACCAATTCTTGCTTCGGAACCGTGACACTTAGTTGCTTAGACTTGTTGCCACGGAAAAATTATCTGAGTTCGAGGCACTTGTATTTCGTCTTAAGAAAACTAGTAACAGCTGAGCCATCGGTCCAGACAGATGTACAATTTTGACAACCACGACATACCGCCGATTAGAGCTGGCTTATCAATGATACACTTAAGAGACGCGAGATACTATTACCCCTTCTTATGTTTTAAGGTTAGCTAAAACCAATTCGCAAATTCGTTGCTGATAATTTTGAATATTATATTCTTGGCACCGAACAAGTCGCAGTTTTAAGCTCACGCCAAGAAGTGGGTGCATGACTCACCAAAACCTCACGAGGAGATTGGTGCAAGACACCTAGAGTTATGGGGTATTGGTACCTTCATGACCCATGGTATCAAAGTCACCCTCTACTAGGATAAGATCGTATATCGAGTTCAGCTTTAAAGCCGAATAGCGCTCCACGCCGCCAAGGATCTCGAATCTTACAGAATGCTCTAAACAAACCATGGACACTATAAGTAGTGTCCCCGTCGAAAGACGCCCGGCAAAGATGAAAGTTTAAATTGCGCAAATCGCGCACGGGAATAGTTATAGTATTCAGCATCTTCGTGACTTCACGTATTATACTACACGTTCGATACGTGTCGTGCATATTCGCCCGTCGTTCTTCAAATTTTAAACGTTTGAGACGTTGCTGTTGATACCCCAGCACCCTGGACAGCGAGCCCCACCTCATTTAAAGAGATTTAAAGGTGGGTTCCAGCAGCATTGACCTCTACGATGTACGTAGAGCCTTCCATTAGTCCACATTTAGCAGCTCGAATATTTCCCGCAACTAATTTATCAGTCAGCAGCCTCGATATTTGAGAGTATCACGGTGCTGCTTGGCAGTTCAAGTATCTTTCCTTACTTTACCGCACGACGGGATTTGTCGTTTTTGCACGCCTGCAAAGTTTTCATCTCTCGTACTCTAATCGGCCCTTGTAGCCAATTATGTACTCGCATTTAATGCAACGCTCATTGTATTTTCGACGGCGATGAGAGCTCGCAACTCCTGGGCTAATTCCGCTATATCCTGTCTACTCGACAGGTAGACAAGTTCTTAAACGTACACGATATGCGTCGTTTAGCAGAGCGAGCATTCGCTAAATTATTTCACATGTAGCACTTTTTATATTGGTAATGCGTAAATGCGCACGGCGTCGTAGCTTATGAGTCGCTGTGCTGCTCCGTCTGGAACATGGCCGAAGTAGTGGCTGTACTCGAATTTTTTCAAATACAAAGGGATTGTTTCTGGCTCTACCCCCAAGGGGCAGGACTATTACAATAGTCGCCTCACTGTGAGTGCTAGTGTTTTGCTATCTACAATTTTATTATGCACAGCGTGGGGTTCGTCTCCCACGAATCTTAACCCCCAGAAGTCTTATCACCCTCATCCGCACCGGTACGAATCATGATGATCCTTCGTTATTTTTTGGCTTGTATCCGAGGTGCAATTTTTACAAGAATGTGATGTGTCGACACCAATACACGATACGTATTTCGTCTTTATTTAATCCTGTTGACTCTGAGAAACGAAGATAAATAATAAGAGTATGATTTTCCCTAAAACTGACATTGTTCCGCTTTTATAAAACAAATGCATTTTAGCAAGACCAAAATAAACAATTTTTACCAGAAATTAAAAAAAATGCTTTTCAAAATTTTGCTTTGCACTACTGTCCAGACGATGCAGCAGTGTAAAGCAATTTATCTGCCAGCATTGTTACCACCTAACGTGGTAGCTATGAATTGGTATAACAAACTGGGACAATGTCAATATATATTTTCCAGACACCAAAAACATTACTATAAGTTACCTACTGAAAAAGACACTTTACTGTGACTAGTACCGTACTCAGCACATACGGTAACTCGATGGATGGCTGAAAATTCGTTGGCTATGACTCTTTGTCACACTGCCAGGCTACCTTCTTC